TCTCAGGGTAATAGTGGATCACAAACTGAATAGGAGATACCAATGTGATGCAGTGGTGAAAAACGTTACAATTATTCTGTGGTGTATTAACAGGAATGTCTTGTGTAAGACGCGGAAGATCGTTGTTACTCAGCACTGGTGGGAACTCTGCTGGAGAACTGTGCAAAGGCACAGAAATCTTTTGTGCAAAGGCACATCAGTATAGACGCTCTCTTGCGCAAATAGTTTTAATGGAAAAACTTTTCAGTTAAAAGTATTTGCGCAAAATCATGCTAGTGTAGACGCAGCCCTAGAGTAGGAAAAAGTCACTGGGGTATACTGGAAGGGTACATGTCAAAGTCAATTTAAGATACACAATTCGGCTACATTAATTGTGTAACAGAAGTTGAAGTAGCTTAATTTGGCTTTTGGCACTGTCTACACTAAAGGAAGTGGAAAGAAGAACACTCTTCCTTTGACTTGTGAGAGTAGGATTACCTGCATCAACCGGAGTGCCCCTCACTTCAAATTAACTGTCTTAACTAGACTGCTACTTCGAACCCTGGACAATTCACAGCAATAACTTCTATTTTCCTCTGTAGTGTAGATGCACCCTTAGTGTGTTTCAGACAAGACCGCTATATAATAAGAAGACAGAAGTAAAGATTAAGTAAGCATTTTTCATGTTTTCTGTCCCACAGGATTATATACTCTCATTCATCTGCATGCACTTCAGCTGCCCATCACTATGTTAGGGACAATCTTGTTGACTGCTACAGGCATTACTTTAGCAAGGGTTCAATAAGTCCAGGCAAGATCTTAAAATACATTCCACAAACATCCAATTTGTGGTGGCATGTTTTGCATTCCTATAGTCCAATAGAAAACTCATACTCTTGTGTTGTAAGCTGCCTTTATCTAGACCCATAGTACAAATCACTTGCATAAATGTCTGGATAAGTCTTCCCACTCATCCATTTGTGGCAGAATGGTAAGTAGCTGATATGACATATTTGATATGTTTTCAGGCAAACAGCTAGAACTCTTCAGATGTGAATTGAGTTCTTGTGTCACTAGAACTTCTGACCTTGGAAACAAGTGTTTTAACCCTTCTAACATCTGCAGTGATTTAGTTGAATTCATATAGCATACTTCAGGCCATTCAGAGAGGTTACTTACTGCAATCAAAAAATGTCCCATAAATGGGCTAGCATAATGCATCCCAAGTTTGGCCACTCTCAAGTATGCAAAGGAATATGTTTAGGCATGTGTTGTGTTTTCTAAAGAAAATGGATGTTGTTTTGCCATTTCCTCTACTTGTAAATCATTTCCCTAGACACCACACAATTCTGGACAAGGACTTTTGTTTTTACAATTCTCAAATGGCCAATCTTTTAATTTCTGGAGTAAATGTGACCTGAACTTCACAACAGTCTGCTTATGCCTGATAAACAAATTTGCACATTTGTTGATACTTTTGAACTCAATACCATAACAGTGAATGCCAAAGAACATACCCCACCTATGTAATTGTGCTGCAGCAGCCATTAGTAATACTCTTTGGGTTAAAAATTGAGACTAGAAGTTGATTATCCATAACTAGAGTACATTGTTGCCAATAGTGATACTGATGAAACTTTTCCCCCAGACTAACTTCAGAGCTTCTCTTTTGAGTTGCATTCTGCTGAGGTAATATAGATCTAGAAACAAAAGCAATGGGCCTTTAAGTATGAAAAAAGAAGCAAAGATCCATTATAGAGTGTAAGGAGCTTTTCAGGGCTTTGGAGGCACTGTACAGACAAATGCCATTTCTGTCCATTGTGAAACAGTTAATTTGTGAGATGTAACATTGTTGCTGTGTTAAGCAATAACTGACCTTTCCACGAAAAGAAAGTAATTGTGATACTTTTTGTGGTTGGGATGCTTTAGGGATAGCTTCAGCGATCTCTTGTCATTTATGAAATCCATCTTTGTCAATGATATGACTATAGTACCTAACTGAGTCTTTGAAAATTCACCTTTTCCTTATTTGCTCTAAGCCCAGACAGTTTCACAAGTGCCTCCTAAAGGTCTTCAAGGTGCTCTTCATCACTGACTCCCATAATACGTATATTATCCAAGTAACACTGAATGCCAGGAATACCCTTTAATTTCTGATCCGTGGTTTTCTGCCAAACTGCAGGTGCTATTCCAAATATTAGCCCAGGGGTCTAATATTCAAACCTTTTCAAACCAAAGAGCCAAATTACATAAAAATTCAGAACAAGTGGTCAACAAGAGCCAGTATAAGAATGCCCATTTGCATGACTGAAAATATACAACTTAACATTATTGATAATTGACATAATGATTAATAATATCATAAATGAAATGTACTCACAGACTTTATTTGATAGAACTTCTGCTGCTGCTAGGGGAATAATTTGTGGATGTAGGGTGCAGGAGTCAGGGTTGGTGTGTATGAGGAGCTCAGGGCAGAGGGTTGGGGTGTGTGGGAGGTGCAGGAGGCAGGGTGCAGGGTAGGGATGTAACAGTGTAGACGATTAACTGATAAGCAAAAGCTTATAAGTTAATACTATAGTATAGACTACATGCATTCTCCTCCCCCCTAGCCAGTAAGTTTTTTAGCAGGCTAGCCATAGTATAGACTACATGCATTCTCCTCCCCCCTAGCCAGTAAGTTTTTTAGCAGGCTAGCCAGCAGGCAGCTCAGTCCTGGCTCGCGCTGGGTCCAGGACCTACCTCCGCTGCAGCTCTGCACTTAAAGTGTATTAGGAATCAGATGGGCAGGCAAATCTGGCTCAGTTCCAGCTCGTGCTGGGACCAGGAGCTCAGCCCCATCCCTGGACAGGGGCTGCTGCCACCTTGCAATGCTGCCTCTGCGACAGGCAGCTGGTCGGCAAGGGGAACTGTTTTTTAAACGGCTCCCCTCATAAACCAGCTCCTGCCTGGCACCCCATGCTGCTGCCTCTGTTATAGAGGCAGCAGTGCAGAGTGGCAGGAAGCTCCTTGGGAGTGGGACCACAGCGCACTGGCTGCTGGCCCCTCCCCTGGAGTCTATAAAATAGTTGAGTAACCGATAAGAATTCATGAGGTTACTCGACTATTCAATTAACTGATATTTAACATCCCTAGTGCTGGGGGTGGGAAACAGAGTATGTGAGGGGGCCCTGAAGCCAGATTACTTTACATGGCTGGGGCTGGGCTGCTGCACCCAGGCAACAGTGACTGGATAAGGAGCTGGGCCAAGATTGCTGCAGCTGGATTGTGGCCTCCCCTATTAACCATGCTGCAGCAGGAGGAGGGCCAGAGCCAGCCCATCCTGCGGCCAGATGGAGGCCAGACCGCTGGGCCTGTCCTAGGATCAGGGCCAGGGATAGGATGATGCAGCCAGATGGAGACTGGGCCCTGACTGGGGCCTTGTTGGCCTGGCTTCATTTTAAATAAAGTAAAATATTATATCCAACACAAAGGTTTCAACATTTTCTTTATTTATGGCACAGGTGGGGAACCTTTCTAGGGTTGAGGGCCACTGACCCACAGAAAAATCCATTGGGGATCACACAAGTGAGAAACAAAACAAAAAAACCACCCTCCAAAACCCCCAACCTTCATTGATGTGGTCCCCGACTGAAACCTCACTTCCCTGGTACTCCAACCTCATGGTGGGGGGACTGGGAGGACTGAGGTTCAAAGCCTCAGGTCAGATTAATACTTCCAGGGTAAGTGGATTTTGTGGACCCTCCTAGGCTACGGGTGGGGCCAGAAATGAGGGGTTCAGTGTGCAGGACAGGGCTGCCAGTGAGAGGGATAGGAGTTCAAAATCTGGGCAGAAGGTGGGGTACAGGAGGGAGTGAGGGGGCAAGGTTTGGATGGGAACTAGGGTACAGGAATAGATGGAGGGTAGGATGTCTAGCCAGGGGGAGGGCAGAATCAAGGGAGAGTACAGGAGTGGGCTGGGAGTATGGTAAGGGGGAGGGTGCAGGAGCAGGCTGAAGAGAGGTGTCTTACCAGGGGGAAGGGTGCAGGAGCAGGCTAGAGGCAGGGTGTCTAGCCAGTGGGGAGGTGGCAGAAGCAGGCTGGGGGTAGGTGTCTGGCTGGGGAAAGGGGTAAGGAGCAGGGGAGGGTGCAGGAGCAGGCTGGGGGTGTGGGGTCTCAGCGGGGGAGGGTGTGTGTGAGGAGACTGGGGGTACAGGGGCTGGGCATGAGGGGCTTGGGGGCCCTTACTTGTTTTCACGCCATGTGCCACTCCCAGGCATCAGGGGCTTTCACCTGAATCCAGCTCAGATGTCTTTCTTTAAAAAAATTTAGAGTCATTAGCTTAACCACAAAAGATGGACTTGATACAGCACTTGCTGGGTGCAGTTCTTTGGCTATGCAGGGCTGTCCATAGGCATATGCAGCATATACAGCAGCGTAAGGCACCACTGGTGCCCAAAACTGAGTGGTGATCTAGGCAGCTGCATGCTGTGTATGTCTAGGGCCATTGCTGGAATGGGACAGCAAGGTGTGGGCAGTGCCAGCTTCGTAGCCAGCCTCATCCCCTGGTCCCTCTAGATCCACCCAGCTGCCACTTCCTGGCTTTTTCCTCTTAGGCCAGTAGGGGGAACTGATGCCTATCTCCAGCCAGCTGTGTGGCTGCTCCCTTCTCTGCCTCCAGCTCAGAGTTTGCACCACTCCCCACCTGGCACTTCCCACTTGCTCCCCTGACAGCCTCCCTGCCCTACTCCTGCCCTCCACAGGCCTGCCCCTCACAGCTCCTGCCTCCATGTCTTCACAGCTCTAAATGCAGCCCCCCCCCCCCATGAAACAGAAAGGGTGCAGATGATTGGGCTGCGTAGGGCACCAGGAATCATAAGGACGGCCCTGGAACTATGTTATGTGGGATTTGACCTCAAATGGTCCCCTCTGACTTGAAAATCTATTAATCTCTCAAAATCATTAGACTGGGAGTTGTGATCCCATGCAGGGCCTTTCCACCACGATAGCACATGATAAAATTGTTCCATGTTTTCTCACAGAGGGAAAGTTAACCCTGAACCTTGCCAAACCTGTCTTAATGTGCCAGAGATAAGGAA